CAAGGGATGGCTAACAGCCCAACTATGTGGCAAATTTATGTTAACAAAGTAATCCAGCCACTTAGAAATCAAAATCCTGAACTACAAATATTTCACTATATGGATGATGTATTATTAGCACACAAAGATAAAAACACATTGCTAGAATGTTATGCCACACTTACAAACTTATTAAAAAATTATAATCTAGAGATAGCAATAGATAAAGTACAATTAAATTTTCCAATTAATTATTTAGGAGTTCTATTACCCTCAACCATGGTCCGTCCACCAAAAATTCAAATACGAGTAGATCAACTCAAATCACTTAATGACTTTCAAAAGTTATTAGGAGACATAAATTGGATAAGGCCTTATTTAGGTATACCAACAGGAGAGTTGGGACCTTTATTTGATATCCTAAAAGGTCCATCAGATCCAAATTCACTCCGAATGTTAAGGCGTGAAGGAAGAAAGGCATTAAAAATCATTGAAACATATATGGAAAATATGCATTTGGATAGAATTGATATAAGTTTGCCTTTATTATTTATTGTACTACCAACAAAAAATATTCCTACAGGAGTATTTTGGCAAGAAGGTCCATTATTATGGATACATTTATCTTATTCTCCTAACACTATTCTTACTAGGTATCCTGAGGCTGTAGGACAATTAATACTCAAAGGAATAAAAGCAGCAAAGGGAGTGTTTGGAATTTCTCCCAATAAAATTATTACTCCATATACTATGAATCAAATTGATGAGTTAGCTAATGAGTTAAATACTTGGGCAATAATCATGTGCAAATCTAATGTTTCATTTGATAACCACTTACCATCTAATCCTTTATTGTCTTTTTGGTCATTGCATCCTGTAGTTTTTCCTAAAATGACAAGAAAAACACCTATCATGAATGCTCCAAATATATTCACTGATGGGTCAAATAATGGTACAGCAGCAATAGTTACCCCTGATCAAACTTTTACATTTTTAGTACCCAAACAATCAGCTCAAAAGGTAGAGCTTAATGCAGTTTTACAAGCTTTTGTGATGTTTAAAGATTCTGTATTTAATTTATTTTCTGATAGTCAGTATGTAGTTAATGCTATAGTATCTCTTGAAGATGCTGGTAGGATTTCCCCTTCTTCTACTGTTTTCTCTTTGCTTTCCACTATACAAAGTCTAATCTGGGACAGAAAAGATCCATTCTTTATAGGACATATCAGGGCACATACAGGATTGCCTGGAGCCCTTAGTTTGGGCAATGATTTAGCAGATAAAACTACACATGACATACATATTTTCTCTACACTAGAAGAAGCTATAAATTTTCATAAAAAGTTCCATGTCAATGCTAATACTTTACAAAAACGTTTTAAAATAACTAAGGAACAAGCTAGACAAATAATAAAACAATGTCAAAATTGTGTGACCTTTTTACCACAAGTTAATCTTGGAGTCAATCCTAGAGGATTGATACCTAACCATATTTGGCAGATGGACGTCACACACTTGCCAGAATTTGGAAAATTAAAATATTTGCATGTTACAGTTGATACTTCTTCTGGATTTTTGATGGGCTCCCTTCATGCCGGAGAAAAAACTAAAGATGTTATAGCTCATTGCTTACAAAATTTTGCCACTGTGGGTGTTCCAAAACCGTTAAAAACAGATAATGCCCCTGGTTATACTTCTACCTCTTTTAAACAATTTTGCTCAACATTTGGCATTACTCATATAACAGGAATCCCATACAATCCACAGGGACAAGGCATAGTTGAAAGAGCTCATCAAACTATTAAAATGTACTTATTAAAGCAAAAAGAAGGAATTGGGAAGGGGTATATATTCCCCAAAGATAAACTTAAAATAACCCTTTTTACTCTAAACTTTTTAAATTTGGATTCATCAGGACTTAGTGCTGCGGAAAGGCATATGTGTCCAAAAAATGTACATAAGCCCAAGGTACTTTGGAAGGATATTCTAACAGGACAATGGAAAGGTCCTGACCCAGTAATTGTCTGGAGTCGGGGGTCTGTTTGTGTGTTTCCACAGGGAAAACAGCAGCCGATTTGGATTCCAGAGAGATTAACCAAGGTCCTGACCCAGTGATTGTCTGGAGTCGGGGGTCTGTTTATGTGTTTCCACAGGGAGAACAGCAGCCGATTTGGATTCCAGAAAGATTAACTAAAGCGATTTCTACAGACCAAAAAGAAGATGATTTGGCTCAAATCCGTAACAACTGATATCCAAAACTCCAGTTTGGCTATTCTTACATCTGCAACAGAACCAGGATGCTTTTTTCAATATCTATTTTATTATTGCCCTTTGCCATATCATGAAGTTCTATTTTGTTTTTTGAGCTCATACAGACCTAGGTTAATGTTTTGCTGATCAGTTCTATTTTTTGACTATAGAGTTTTTAAACATTGCAATGGAGATTTCACCTGTAAAAAGTTATAAGGCCTTTACTATAATGTTATGTGTTGTATGTATTATATTATGTGTGCACACTTGTGTTTTGTGTTATACGTTTGAATGTACGTATGTCCATATATCATATAAGATGAGCGCTCATGATACAATGGATCCAAATATTTTTTTTCACGTGATTTATATGGTTTAATTTAAATTGGGTAAACACCTGTTGAGGATTGTTTTAATATGTAAACAAAAAAGAAGGTTAACAGATCTGTTTGTTTACTTTCACCTTTCCTTTTCATTATATTTAATAATTCTCTTAAAGATAATGTAAATTGTTAAGAAAATTGTTTTCTTTTACTGCCTTCTGTAATGTTACATAATTTTTTCTTTAGCCATTATTGCCAGAATTCCTATCTTCATCCCAGTGCTGGTGAAGACAATGTAAATTGTTAAGAAAATTGTTTTCTTTTAGTGCCTTCTGTAATGTTAGATAATTTTTTCTTTAGCCATTATTGCCAGAATTCCTATCTTCATCCCAGTGCTAGTGAAGTCAAAGATAAAACCAATCTACAGCTTCTACAATAGCCATCACTGAACTGCTTGCAGAACTTGCCTGGACACATTGTGAGCTCACCTGTATGCATTGTGAACTATCTGTTGGTACAGCGAATTGTGGTAGTGCTGGAGTATTTTTGCTGATGGTGTCACCGGTGGTACAATTTTTCAAAGGAGCCCTCAATTGGCTTAATGTCATGGCATTTTGCATCCTCCTCTACTAGTGATGGTCTAAAATTTGGGGGCCAACAGAGGTGAGGCAAAGAACCTCACCCCCCCACAGGTGCAAAGGCCTATCCACAAGTATGGCTGTATGCTGGACCGGTAGTCAGTGACGGGTATGATCCAATTGCAGTGGTACCAACCTAAGACAGGAGGCTGACGCCTAGAGGTCAGTTCATCCGATGACGGGTAAGGACCATATGTTGAATTGGACTGCCTAACAGGCACGGTCCCTAAGCCACATGCTTGTTGTTTAAACAGAGAGGGGGAGATGGTGAGAGCCACAGCCAAAGGGGCCCCAGCAAACTTCCAGCTGCCAGCAAACTTCCAGCTGCCGGCTGATGATTGGCTCACAGCGGCCCCAGCAACATCTACCTGATTGGCTCCTCTGCGGTGATGCTCATTGGGCTGTTTCCCTGCCCTTTCAGACCACGGAGCTGCTCATTGGGGGACTTTTTTGGCTCCGCCCACGTGACCCAGCCAATCGGCCTCAAGAGCAGGAGGATTGTGGGAGGTGGGGAGAAGCTGGTGTGGGAGAGAGAGGCTTGTGGAAAGCCGGTGGTGGCAGTTGAGGCTCTGAGGGTTTTTCCTGAGAGGCTGTTTTGTTTGGCGTGTGTGGTTCTAAAAATAAAGTTAGTTTCTTTTGACAAGTGGCTCCTGATTGTGCCCAGCCAGACTGCGGCATCAGAAGCTAATGTAATGGATGGGCATCCACACTGATTGTCAGTGTCTTGACACCCATTTCACAGGCCATGCTGTTCAGCATTGATCCCAAGCACATGAAGCATCGTGAAACTTTCATCTGCCATATAACTCAGCAGAAAGCAGATTTGGTGGAGAGAGAAAGTCCTATGCAAGCATTAGGTATTGCCCCTATCAGGCAAACCCACCTTGACCCGCTGGACTGGAGTCTTTGGAGAAATGTATGTATAATATGCCCAAAATGCACTCTACTTTCATGTATATCTAAAAAGAACAAAGAAAAAAAGGAAAAAAAAATGTTAATAAGTTTAAATGCCCGTAAGTCTTGGATATCTTCTCCTATGAGCATCTGGGAGCTCTGGCCCCTGCCCCAAACACCATGCATGTCCAAACTCTGAATCCACATGGTATACTGCCAGAGTTGATTCAAAGACAAAGAGCTCTGGGGTTTTGCACCCTGTAAGCATTAAATCCAGGGTAGGGACAACTCAATGGCTTGTCCCCCACAGATGTGTTGACTGTTTCTTGCCACAGTGTGAGGAATCAGAAAATAGAAAAACACTGAGAGACTACAGCTATGGATGGAAAAATAAATGTTGAGTAGGATCTTGTCAAGGTTAATCTGTACCTTCCGACGAGGAAGTACTGGTGGCATAGTGTATGTTGTACAACATGGCAACAATATTGGGAGAGATGCTGTAGAGCATCCCAAACACTGACCAAGAGGACAGAGTCCATGAGTGACTCCAAAGGTGGACAGTGAATGACGTGCCAGAGTAGGAGGCTAAGTTCAGCTCTCTGAATATTTTCTTTAATCCATGAGGGCATGATCACAGGTCCAGAGCCCAACAAGGCCAACAAGAATCCACTTAGGAGACTCCTCACACTATGGCAAGAAATAGCCAACCCATCTGTGGGGGACAAGCCACTTGAGCCCCCATGGAATTGTCCCCACCCTGGACTTAATGCTTACTGGGTGCAAAACCCCAGAGCTCTTTGTCTTTGCATCAACTCTGGTAGTATACCATCTGGGTGCACAGCTTGGACATGCATGGTGTTTGGGGCAGGGGCCAGAGCTCCCAGCTGCTCATAGGAGAAGGCATCCAAGACTTATGGGCATTTAAATCTATTAACATTTCTTTTTTTCTTTTTTCTTTGTTCTTTTTAGATCTACATGGCAGTAGAGTGTATTTTGGCATATTGTACATACATTTCTCCAAAGATTCCAGTCCAACTGGCCAAGGTGGGTTTGCCTAATGCTTGAATAAGACTTGCTCTCTCTCCACCAAACTTGCTTGCTGACTTAGAGTTATATGGCAGATGGAAGTTTCCTCATGTTTCATGTCCTTGGGAACAATGCTGAAAAACATGGCCTGTGAACTGGGTGTCCTGACTGACAATCCAGCGTCAGTACCCATACATTATGTTAGTTTCTCAAGACCTTTGAAAGTGGTGTTTTGAATAGCTCTCTTGTTATGGAAAGCTACACAGGGTTAAGGCTTTGTGTGTCCTTTATTGTTTGGCAAAAGGCTGATATGAACAATCTGCCAGTCCCAAACTAGTTGGACTGTTCAGTGTATTTTTCCTGAATGTGGCTCAAAGGACAGGACAGGAGGCAGGAGCACACCTGTCACTGGGATGTTTCCAGGAGCAAGTCATTATATTTTAGGGATAATCCTGTCCCTTAAGTCCTGTTCCATCACATTTTGGCACTTTCTAAATTACCTTCTCTGTACTCTCCTCATCAGGTCCACTGCCTGGGTCCTGGCCAGAGCCTGCATCAAAGTCAAAGCATCCAGCTCCATATTTACAGGGACAAAGGTGAGTGTTTAATAATCAATTTTCCAGTTTCATGTCACATTTGTTGTCAAATGTTGGCTTCCAAGAAAAGTTTACCCAGTAAAGACCATAGTCCACTGGCAACTGTGCCATCTACAATGTGAGGCCATGGTGAACTGTCCAGTTAGTACAAATATCCAGTGACCAGCTCACAGGTACTACAAGCCATAGTGAATAATTCTATCTTCTGGCTGTTCAAATTTTCTTCTGTCTCATGCCAGAAAGTATGAATAACAGGTTGTAATTCAAAATCAGTACAAATTCTTGACTCCCCCCATGCTGGACCCATCTGTATATGAACAATTTCCAGGCATGGGGGGGATACTCCTCACACACTTGGAAGACCAGTGGCACTGGGGCAGCCACCTGGGTGGTGGGAAATAGGTAAAGGCACCTATTCAACAAGTTGTTGGTGAGAACTCTGCATTGGTGTAACACACATGCCCTTTATTTAGGGGTCTGTGCTATACAAGAGTGATGCTGGTGACATAGGCCATCCACCCACCTTTATAGGTAGGCCAGTTCACATTATGTCCAGTAAATTTTTAGACAGTGGCTCCACTTGTGGTAGGTCATCTTACACTCCTAACAACGGCTGTTGTAAAGGCTGCATCTACTAGTTTCAGCTCCCTTCCCACCATGACAAAATCCTAGAAGTACATTTTCCATTGTTGTTCTTGCCAGAAAGCTAAGTGCATCCCATCTGCTTTACAGGTGACATCTAAACTATTTTACAAAAGAATAGCCTACTGAGATTTCGTCAGACCCTAAATGACCCAAGATAAGGGAACTACCATACTCAAGCCTGCTCTAGCCCTCCACCTGGAAGAAGAGACACACTCAACACCAGCGCCCACTGCTCTTCCATATGAGAGAGGAAAACATCCAACCACAGCTGCCTCCAGACATATCTTGTCCCATGAGAGTGGGGAAAATGAGGAAACCGATGCAGCTCCTTTCAAGAGCCCACACTCACTAAAAGACTGAGATATAATCATACGGCCAGGAATACCTTCCCTCACCAAGCAGGGGAAATACAAAGCAAAACTAAACAAACAAAAAAACATTCACATTTTATACTCAAACAGCAGAAAATCAAAGGGTGAGGAAGTCATTTTCTAAAGTCCAGTAAAGAATGGTGATTATCCTGGTTTAGATCTAGGAATGTCCCCCCAAAAGCACAGGTATTAGGTAATGCACAAATATTCAGAGGTGAAAAGATTGGATTATGAGTTCTGCAAACTTATAGGTGGACTACTCCTTTAGATGAATTAATCTGAATGGACCACTGAGTGCTAACTGCAGACAGATGGGTGTGGCTGGAGAAACTAGGTCACAGAAGGTGCCTTTTGAGTGCACAATGTAACATTAAGAAACAGTATGTAGGGCCCCAGGCTTCTCTCTTTGCGCCCCCCTATCTTTCTGTGCCTATTTATGTATTTATTCATTTAGACCAGAGATTAAATCTGGGGCACCTAACCACTGAGCTACATCCTCAGCCCTTTTATGTTTATTTTGACACAGGGTCTCACTAAGTTGCTTAGGTCCCTGCTAAGTTGCTGAGGCTGGCTTTGAACTTGCAATCCTCCTGCCCTCCTGACTCAGCCTCTGGAGCCTCTGGGATTACAGGCACACACCACCACACCTGGTTCTCTCTGCTTCTTGTCTGCCATGGGCTGAGCAGTTTCCTCTGCCATGCCCTTCCACCATGATGTTCTACCTCACCCTGCACCCAGGGATGGAGATGGCAGAACCCAAAGTAAACTTTTCTTGCTCTAAGTTATTCTTGCCAAGTATTTCATTCACAGGGACAAAAAGCTGATTAACATAGGGACTATAGTTAATATTTCAAAGTTGCTAAAATGTAGTTTAAATTTTCTCACATAAAGAAATAAGTCTGGGAAGCAATGGGTAGGATATAGTAGTTGACCTGACATAGTGTATCCTAACATTATATTAGGCCCTTAGGCCCTATATATGTGTGTGTGTGTGTGTGTGTGTGTGTGTGTGTGTGATTATCTGTCAATTAAAATCATGATAATCAATGAGCCTTTAGACAATATATCAAAGAAAATAGAAGATAAAAATGAGGAAGATTGGAAGTTACAAGGGTGGTATCCATACAGATCCCATGGACATTAGAAAGACAGTAAAGGAATACCACAAACAACTCCATGTTCTTAAACTCAAGAAACTACAGGAAATGTACTGATTTCTTGCAAGACAAATATGCTAGATTTAACACAAAAAGAAATGATCAATCTGAACAGAACTGTAACTTATCAAAGATACAGAACCAATAAGGCCAAGCCACCAGTTCAAGATAGGTTCCTGGTGAATCCTAACAAACATTTAAGATAGAAATTATATCAATTCTCTAAGATCTCTTCCAGAAGATTAAAGCAAAGGAGCTACCTTCTAACTCACTGTATCAAACCAGCTCTAATGTAATAACAAAATCAGACAAAGATTAGAGGAAATCTACAGACTAAGTCCTAAAAGAAGATAAGAAAACATAACAATGAAGTCTTAGCAAATATGACCCAGAAACAGACCCACATCAGTACAGCCAACCTGTGTACAGTAAAGGAGCAGAGGGGACACAGCAGCATGGAGCAGAGGTCCTTCCCGCAAGTGGGGCTGCCTGACCTGGACGTCCCCATCACCACGGCTACTGACACATGTGGGAGGAGAGACTCAGAGAGAAAGGAGGCAGAAGGGGGAAGAAACACTCCTTGTAAAATAAGGGCTGGAAACTTGGCAAATTTGTTATAAAACACAGACCTCTGGATTCAATGTTTCTTCTTTGTAAAAAAAAAAATCCATTGCGATGCACATCACAGGATGCATCTTTGGTATGCATATCACACATGAATACTTGGGGTTGCATCTCTGTGTGTGTGTGTGTGCCTCTGTGTGTCCATGTCTGTGTTTGTATAGAAATTCTCAAAAATATCTTCTGCCATTGAACATTCATTGATTTTGGAATCAAACACACTAGAAATACCCAAAAAATTCTTTGAATTTTTAAAAAACTTTCTATACTGTTCTTCTGAATTCTTAATAATGGTATATTTTAATTTAGTTATTTGTTGTTGTTCAAGACCCTCTAACTGAAGATAATAAAATTAACTAGAAAAAAATGATGAAGAAATTTTATTCAAAATTCACAAAAATACATACAGAAGACATCTCAGTTCTGTGTCTGAGTTGATGCAAGGCAAGGAACTACAATGTGGGAAGCTGCAACTGCAGAGAGGGGGAACCTGAGAGTAACAATCCCTGTGAAATAACAATTACAGGAATGATCCAGTTTTCCAAAAGTGTCATATCAATGGAGCTAAACAGATAGACAAAAAAGCAGGTCATGTCTACATGGTAGGCAGAAACAACAGGACATGGACTAAGGTCTCCTGTGGTAGGGTGAGCAGGTGGAACTAGAAGGAAGGATCTAGACAGCCTAGAAGAGTAGGGAACATGCTGGGCTGGAGGGTGGGCAGGGGTGTGGTCTTCTTGCCCCTCCCCTGCTGTCAGGATCCCTTTGTGATGAGAGGGCACAGCCCTGTATGACAAAGGTCAGGGTAGGACTCCTCATTGCTGAAGTGAACTCTCAGGACTCATTTGTCCAAACAGAACAGTGCGATTCAGAAGATGGAGAAATTTCTCTTTCCTCTGAACAGCGTTAGTGACACATGGCTGAACCCCAGCTTCACCACCTGGACAATGGATATGATCCTTGCCTTTGTGTGTGGACTGGGGCTCTTTCTCCTCTTATTGCTCCTCTTATTGTAATCCATCCTTCCCACCACCAAGCAAAAAGGGAAAACTCAGGAAGGTAAGAAACCCTCAGGCCATACCCAAAGAAAAACAGATTCTCTTTTGTCTCCTCTTCTTTCCATTTTTCCAAAACAAATAGAGACAGTTAAAAAAAAAAAACAAAAAAAAACATTAGGACAGAACAGAGCATCACTGTGAGACAGGCAGGGCAGGGCAGGGAGAGGGTGTGCACTAGGGCTTCTCCTATCTGAAGCTCTCAGACCATCCAAGGGGGGAGCTGCAGGTCCCAGAGTGAAGCACACACAGTGACTCGGTGGCTGAGGTCTGGATCCTGAGGGAGCTGGGAACCTCTGGAGGAGGACAGGCCTTGAGCACTGCTCATTCAGTCATCTTCTTCTGGTGTGTATCTCTGGAGCAGGCCTTTCCTCTGTATTGGGCTGAGGTGTGAGGGCTGTGCTGAGCCCTGAGGGCCTCCATCACCTGCTGGAGTCCCCTCTGGCCTCAGGGAGCACAACCCTGCTAAACAGCTGAGAAGAGCCTGTGGAAATGAGTCTGTTCCTGAGCCAAGGATCAGTGACTAAGGACATGCATGGGGTAGTTCATATAGAAAATCCCCTTTTGTTTTCCAAAGGAAACAAATGAAGTTCTGCTACTTTAAAAATGTTCTCTGAATAAAAGGGTCTCCACTAGCTGTAGAAAGTGATGTTGTTCAGAAACATGGAATGTCTGTAGCTGGTCTAGTACAGCAGAGGGAGAACTGGACACCAGCCGCTTTTTTTTTTTTTCCTGTTGGTCAGCATCTGAAGGTAAAACACGAACAGAGCATGAAGAGGAAGAAGAGTGGCATTCTGAAAGGTAAGGCCCTGCCCTCCCACCCCAGAGGTGACTTTCTATCTACTGTCCCCAAGAGACCAGAGCCATGTCCAAGACGATAGATATAACTTGCAGAAACCTGAGAGGAAGGGTCCTGAGAAAGAAATCACACCAATGACACTTCTCAGGTTCTGTGCCCAGAATGCAGCTGTGGTGGGCCGGGGTGGTGTGGGCACGACTGGAGCCTTGCTGTCTGAGATCCTGCCAGTGAGGAGGATCCACAAAGGCTGAGTTGTTTTCCTAGGGGTGAAGACTGAACACCCGAGAAACACCAAGGCAAGCATAGAAAGCGAGTTTTATTTATGTTCCTCTGCAGAAGAGGGGTCCCAGACCTGCATATATAAATAAGTGGGGGTGCCCAGACCCTTTTATATTTTAGAATTCCTCTGCCCTCATGTCCTCCTTCTCCCCTTATCTTGCCTCTCCTCTCCCATTCTGCATACATGACCCAGAGGTGGGCCCCATGGTGGAGTGATCCAGGCAGGAAGGCAGCAGCCCAGGAGGCATCAACCAACAACTCCTACAGCTCCCTGCAGGGAGGAGCAATTCCAGGGCAGCTACCTTAGCAACAAGTTGTAGAGGGGACATGGGAGGAGGAGAAGGAAAGATCATTTGATTTCCTTTCCTTTTGGGACATCTTCCCAATGGGACAGATATATTATCTACAATGACTGCCACTTGTCCACCCCCAACACACACACTTCATCTGGATATGGTACTGGGACTTCCTGGTCAAAGTGTGAACAAGGTCTCATGCCCTTAAGACTGACTCTTTCTCCCCATAGGGAGTATAATGGGGGTTGGTAGAGGTGGAAAGAAATGACAAAGTGCTGCCCCTGCATGTGCCTTGCTATCCCTGTCACCTGTCTTGTGGCCTTGAACACTGGCGCTGTCCCTCCAGAGTCTACTCTCCCAGTCTGCCCCACATGGACATTCCCTTCTCCACAATGACCCAGCCTCCATTTTCAGGTTATAGTGACTGCTGGAAGAAAGTGGAAGAGACTGAAGACCTGCTTTCACTTCTACAAAGGTGAGGCCTTCCCACTAGTCCCTGTGCCCTTCCTCCTGCTGCCTGTGATAAGATCCAACCACACAAAGCTCTCATGGGGGAGGGGCAGCCTCCGTGGGGCAGATCTGCCTAAAGCTCTGGGGTATGGGAGAGCAAGGCTTTGGACACTCAGGGTGTGGGGCAGTGAGGGGCCCTGGGCTACAGGTGCCCACCCCTGGCCACTTGCCCTACCTCCTGGCCTCATCTGCTCCTGGCTGCAGCCTGGGCCTCCTATCTCTTGTAGCCACCTAGGGAAGTGCCATGATGACAGCACCTTTCACCACCTTTTAAAAGGAGATGACCCAGATGAGATGTGCAAACCAGGGTCAGCTGGAGCCCACCAGTCATGTACACTGCCCGAGGAGGACGCCTTGGCCACTGCCTTCCTCCCTTTGGCCTCCCCGACTCCATTGAGCAAGCGTCCTCTGCTCCTGGCCTCTGCTCCCTCAGCAGACCTAATGACTTCCTCAGATACTGTTGAGCCTCACTCATCCCTGAGTGCCTCTCAGTCTCCAAAGTCTGTGATTCCTCTAGAACGACGTTCACCTCAGCCACGTGGACTTTCCTCTCCCCCATCTCGTCCTCCTGATCCCATGGCCCACCCTCCATCTCTGCCAATGCCATCTCCTGGTCCATTGCCAACTCCTGGCCAATCGCCTTCTCTTGTACGACTGCCATCTCATGTGCCATTGCCATCACCTGTCCCACAGCCACCTCCTGTCCCAGCAGTCTAGGCCATGTTCTCTCCACCTGTCCCATCTCATCCCTCTCCTGGTGGCAGAGGGCTGCCAGAGTCTGTGGCTTCTCCCACTCCCCTCACAGTGAATCCAAGAGAGATCATGCTCCCCACCCACCAGAGGACTCACTCTGGGCAAACGGCCCACTCTCGCAGGGAGAGGCTGAGGGGAAATCTTTCATTAACCCTGGTGTCCAGAAACTGCTGGAGATACTGATCAGCAAGAGAGCAGAAATGAAAATTTGTAATCTGAAGACAAAGGGTGAATTAGACAACTCCCTGAATAATCTAGGAATGACCATAAAGTCACTGGGCAGGGAACAGGACACCACCATCCCACAACCCTTCTGGAACACAAAAGGCAAGCCAGAGAAGCTTTCTGTTCCTCAGCAGTTCTTTTACACTGAGATTCTGAGCGATCATTTACAGCAGAAATGGAGCCAGTTCTTTTGGGGCTTCCCCATTCTGCACAGCGAGTCCCTGGTGGCTACTGTCAGCATGTCTGAGCCCTCAGCAGACTTTTCCTCCATTGCATTCAATGAAGTACCTAATTACATTCCAGGGCAGGTACAGGCTGCACCTGGGCCACTATTTGCCTCCCAGTTGCTCCACCCACTTGTCCAACTCCAGCCTGGGACTCCAACCTTGTCCTGGTCCCAGTCCCCACCGCTGGCTCAGATCCACCATCAGGACCATCTCCCATCATCTCTCCCAAGCCTGCCATGCCATCTTCCTCTGAATACTGCCTGTGGATTTCCATGCCCCACAAGCCAAGAGGGGACCCAGTTACTTTCCCCTTCCCTTCAACACCTTAAATATGAACACTTGAGGAAACAACTAGAAATTGGAGAAGCTTTACCTCATTTGTTCCAAAAGTCTCAGAACATCTTTAGCCATCTCACTTCAGAGAACAGGGCCTCCTGTGACCACAAGCCCATCAGCAAGCCCCCAGGGGATTTCCCGAGCCTTGATCTTCAAGAGAAACTGGATCAACACCTTCAGAAGAGGTTCATGCTACATCAGTATGGACTACCACCCAATATGGACCCATTTCTGAATCTGACGGAGTCCTGGGATAACATCCCAAAGACAGGACAGGCAAAGGACAGTTGTGAGTCTTCATGGAACTCAGTGATTCCAGACAACAGGAGCCCTGCTGTACAGAGGGCTGGTTCTGAGAGGCCAGAGATAATACAGGAGGGCACGATTCCCGTGGGTGTTTGTAATTCCAGGCTTGGCACATACCATGTCTCTGTCCTACCTGGAAGTTCAAACACCCAGAAGGAAACTTGGGGTGGACCAACCTTAAAAGGTGGGGAAGCCTTCAGGAACACCTCCCAGGTGCTCTCCCTCCTTGATGCTAGCATTCGGCAGGAACTGGAGGCACATGTTACAAGTCTAAGAGTGAGGCACAGGTGGGGCCTACCCCTCAGGGTCCTCAAGCATATTAATATCTTGAAGATGAGGAACTCTGAGGCTTCACCACCTCCACAGCCTGCCCTTCCCTCTTCAGCCTCCTATGACTCCAGGGCTAACCCCATTGCCCATGATGCCAAGGTCCTGGGAAAATCCACTCCGAAAGGTCCAGGACTGAAGGAGGTAGCACAAACTCCAGTTCCCACCCAGAGGAGTCCTCTCTCTGGCCCCTCTTTTGAGTCCCTGAGCAGAATTCCATCTGGTGACAACGGTGGGCTCCCAGATGCTCCTTCAACTGCACATGAAAGCAGCCTGCCCTCTCAGCCCCACACTTACATTCTCGTGGGCAGAACCTGGCACAATGCAAGAGACAGTCTGGAACCAAGTCCAAGCCTAGAAATGGGCAG